CTCCCCACCACCCATTTCGGCACACCCTTCACACGTTTCGTGGCCCCATAGGGAGCTCCACCGAAGGCCCCAGTGGCGCTGTGCCTATGAGAAGAGGGGCCTAGTTTGCGTGCCCCCTCCTTCGTCTCATATCCGTGCGGTACTCGCAGCTGCATATGGTTGGGTCCTTCGCCAGGCTAATTTTCCATGTTTTTTAATACATTTCTTGGGAATAGACGATTACTTGTGTCTTTGTGTTTTTCCCTCGATTGAATCGACGACTAATTGTGAAGATTGCCGCTCGATGCGCTCGCAGACACTTTGGAGGAACTCATCCGCGCCAGGTCTCCGGCGCAGACGCGGCCGTGCCTCGGCGCGCCCACTGGCCTCACGGCGGAGGCGCAGCCGTGCTGGAAGCGGCGGCGAGCGAGGGGGGGGAGTGAGAAGGAGAAGGCCTTCTCGGAAGGTGGCGGGACTTCTCAGAAGGCGTCGCGCCTTCTGAGAAGTCCTCTGTGCCTTCTGGGGAAGGCTGAGAACGCTTCCCAGGAGGCAAGGGGAGTTCCGAGCCTTCTGAGATGGCCTCCTCCTTTTCCTCCTCCTCCTCCTCCTTCTCCTCCTCCTCCCCCTCCTCCTCCTCCTCCTCCATCCTCCTCCCCCTCCTCCTCCTCCTCCTCCTCCTCCTCCTCCTCCTCCTCGCTCGCCGCCGATGAACGCAGCGGAGCGGGAAGGACCTCAACGCCCAACCTCTTCGGCGGAGCCGCGCGCGCAGCCGTCCCTCCGCCAGCGACGGGGGCGAGCCCGCGGCCGTGCGAGCCCCGGGTCAGCAGCGTGAGGACATCGTGCGGCGGCGTCTCGGTTTGCGCCCAGCGGGTAAAACGACGCGAAGATCGGGACAAAATCGGATCGGGATAACTCGAAATCTCTGAGAATCGGCGGGTTTGGAGGATGTATTGGGCGCCGCGGCCGCTCCAGAGCGTTCCGGAACGCTCTGAGAGCGCTCCGGAACGCTCTGGAGCGATTTATCCCGATCCTAGCCTTGTTTTAGCATCGTGCGGCGGCGTCTCGGTTTGCGCCCAGCGGGGGCGGGCGAACAGCCGTCTGGAGCGAGGCCGCAGGAAGGTTATCGGCCCGGCTCAGCGAGGCCAGTGGGGACGCGGGGTCCGCTTGGGGCTGTCCGTGGCGTCTGGGTGCGGCTGGAGACAAGAAGGTTGTGCCTGCGTTGCACCAGGAGAAGAAGAACTCAGAAACACATCGTCGCCCTCCTCCTCTTCTTTTTCCTCCGCTTCCGCCTCCTACTCCTGCTCCTCCTCCGCCTCCTCCTCCTGCTCCTCCTCCGCCTCCTCCTCCCCCTCCTCCTCCTCATCATCATCAGCATCAGCATCAGCATCATCAGCATCATCAGCATCATCAGCATCATCAGCATCATCAGCATCATCAGCATCATCAGCATCATCATCATCATCAGCATCAGCATCAGCATCAGCATCAGCATCAGCATCAGCATCAGCATCAGCATCAGCATCAGCATCATCATCATCATCATATCATCATATCATCATCATCATCATCATATCATCATCATCATGATCATCATCATCATCATCATCATCATCATCATCATCATCATCAATACTTCTCTATGTCCACCTCTCTCCGTGGACGCCAGGATCCTGGAGTGCCACATCGGAAGCGCAGAAAGGAGGTCCAGCACGAGATATCTTAAGGCTTACGTGGTCTGCTACGTGAGCGGGAAGATGTGACACAGGGAGGTCTTCTGGCACATGGAACTGTTGTCTTCGACCCTGGGCGATCAGGGAGGAAGGTCTCTGAGCGACGGGCATAAACTTACCAGGAGGGGCTGCAGAAGGAACAGCACATCGCCCGCCACCTGTGCGCCTTGTTAATTCTGCGAGGTGGCGACGTCCGAATGGCGCCACCATGCTGCTGGCCCACCCGTCCTCTTTGCGCTGCCGACACCCGCCCTCGCCAAGGCGGGCCCGCCCCGACCAACAGCGTTTGAGTGCCTCTGCGAAGCGGACAACCCTGTTCCAGCAACAATCCTTTCCTCGTCTGCTCTCTGCGCTCCCTCTCCTCGTCGTCATCCGCCCATCCCCATGTGTTGTTCTTCCGTCGTCGGGCACCGGCGTCCTGCGCGGGGCTCTGCTGGACGAACGCGGGGGCCTCGCAGGAAGAAGCCAACTACGGATACACCGACGCCGATCTTGGCCAAGGGAATCCTGGAGCACAGACCCTACGGCCGATTGTTTGTGCCTAGCGTACCACGGCGGCGGCCCGGGCGGCACGCCATGCCCTGCAAGCGGGCTGCGTGTCGCTTCGTTTCGCGGGGGGGGAGGCTGCGAAAGGCTCGGGACGTTGACACCTGGCGACCGGGAAACACTTGGCGCGTCGTGCCGAGGCATGGTGGGCCAGAACCGGCGGCGCGACCCGCCAGCCAAGAGTTCCCGATCGCAGGCCGCCCAGCTTCACGCCTCGCGCTGAGCGATGCGCGACGAGCGCTTCTCTTCGCACCCTCGCAGCAGCCCCCCTGGATGGAGGCCTCCCAGATTGGGGTCGGAGTAGATGGGGTCGGGGGATGGCGCCGCATCGCCGATACATCGGCGATACATCGGCGATGCATCGGCGATGCACCAGCGATGCATCGTCGACGCGGGCGATGCATCAGCGACGTCGGCGTGAAGAAAATCGGGCTCCACATCGAGCCGCATCGGCGATACATCGGCGATGCGGCGCGATCCTCCGACCCCATCTACTCCGACCCCATCTGGGAGGCCTGGAGTTGCTGCGCCTCCTCAGACTTAGGTCGGGCATGTCCCCCTACAGGCGGACGTTGGACGAGAAACACAAAATAACCCCAAAATGCTCAAACATACCCAACAATACTCAACACATTGTCCCTGAATTATTTGTTGATTATCTTTGAATCTTTCTCCTGGGGAGGCACAGCTCTCCAGCCCAGGCCGCGAAGCGCAGAGCGGCCGTGTCCTCGCCCTCCTGCGGCCGACGTACGGCCGAGCACCCCTGCCCTTCCGGCAGACCACGGGGCCCCCCATATGGAGCGTGCGCGTCCTAACGAGGACGTCGAAGCGGATCGGCCCGTTGCGACGATAGGGGGCCGCATGCGAACCCAACCCCTACCCCCCACGATTTCTGATGGGGGAGGGTGGGGTTCACTTCGCTTGGGAGCTCCCGAATGAAGTGAACCCCGCCCTCCCCCTCAGAAATCGTGGGGGGTAGGGGTATGTAGGGGCAGGGTTCGCATTTGGCCCCCTAGACGAATCCCCCCCGCCTCCCCCCCCCCGAAAGCCGAGAGGAGGGGGGGAATCCTGAGCCCCGGATCGGCCTGGTCAAACAGGCCTGGCCCTGTGGGTCCTGCTGGGGCCCGACGCGGCCGACTGGGTCGAGCCCAGCAGCCCATCAAAAAGCTCTCGAGGGGGCGGAACTGCGTGGAAACGGCACGGGGCCCGAGAGCCTCCAGGAGCCCTCCAAAGCCTACCGAGACCTTGAGAAGCATAGTCTGCGTCGGTGTACACTGGCGGCGCGCCAAGGGGGGAGTGGGGCGAGGGGGCGCGGCTTTCTGAGCACGCAGGGGCCTGGCCTCGGAGAAGGGCTCGAAGGCTTCTCACCGAAGGCGGGAGGGCTTCCAAGAAGCCCCCTACCTTCTTAGAAGGGCCGCCCCCGCGCCCCACTGTCCCCGTGCACGCGCCTCCGAGGCGTCAGGGGGGAGGTCTGGTCTGGCGGCCCCTGCGTGGGGCCAGGAGCCCGAGACCTGGTGAGAAGCATCAGGATCCCTCTCCCTCCGGACCCCTCCCTGTGAAACAATCGGCTCCAAACCTGCGTCCTGGACCCCTGAAGGGGTTCTTATCCTGGCGAATTTTTTGAGCTGCGTCCGGTCACGGCGACGAAGGCCACCCGATGCGAGATGGAGATGCATTCGCATTCCTGAATTACCGCCCGGGGAATAGATTTTCGCAGGCCTCGGCAGGCAATAGCTATGGAAACCTGCCAGATCTACGAACATGCGCCGCCTGCCGAGGTCCCCGAAGATCGATCCCCGCCCCGGACCAGAAAAAGCCTCTGACCATCTACCAGACCACCCCAACCCAACCCGAAGACCCGAAGACCCGAATTTCGGGTTGGGGGGGGTACGGGTTCCATATGTGTTTTCTCGATGTTCGCCGACCCCCCCCAAACAGGAAATGGAGGGCAAATCGAGACCTTCGGGTTGGGTTGGGTTGGGGTGGTTTGGTGGGTGGTGAGCCTCGGGAACGACGCCGGCAACGCCGTCGCCGCCGCTCTCCGTGGCGAGCAGCCGACGCCCCCTGGACGCCACCCGCGGGCCTGTCCAGTGGAGCGCATGTCCGACCAGAGCTTCGGAGGGGATCCGGCCGTGGGTGGCGACGAGGAGCCGCCACGGCAGCGCAAGAAGACTCGGGGCTTTCGGAGACGTCTTCTCGGGGGCGGCCAAGACGGGGGGTGTCCAAGAGGGGGGGGTGCAAAGCATGACTGGCGGCATGTGCGCGGCCCAGCGGGGGGGCCAGGGACGTAATGAAAGGAGAAGAGGCGCCATGAAGTCTGGGGAAATATCATGGCCCACGCCATGATACCCACCCCCCCTTCATCACCCTCTTTGCCGCCCCCAATCTTCCTGGGGGACGGGGCCCCAGGGCCTCAGCACAAGGGGACCTCGAAAGGGTAGGTTGAACCACCCTGGACTCCTTCCTGCCCGCAGGGCCCCCTCCCACAGGGCCCTGGGGTTGTGTTGCACGCATCGCACTCGAGGACCACATCCCGGGAATGATTTCGAGCACCCAGAACAATTTCCAAGCACTTTCGAACGAGTATCGCCTCCCAGGGCCAAACACGTAAAACCCTCCAGTTCTCTACTTTCTTGGTGCTCGAAATTCTTTCTGATGAGCAAGGCTGAAGGAGGTTGGAACAGCATAACCCTGGGACCCCATCCCTCCGAGCCGCATCTTTGAACCACCGGCCAAGAATCTCCAGGACAGATGGCGGGCGCAAAAAACCCAGAACCAAACAATCTGGCCATCCCTCGGGAGGCCGATGTTTACTTCCGCCGAGCTTCCGCCGAGCTTCCGCCGGACGAGGCAGCATCTGGCCATCGCTCGGACGTCCATTCCCTGTGTTTTGTTCGGTTTCGTGCGTGGTTTTTTCGCCAAATGATCAAGAGTGCTCCTCGATGGCCCTCGCCGAGAGAAAAATGTACACGTCCGAGCGATGCCAAGGCCTCGTTTTACCCCCGCGGGCACCTGCGGCCCTTCCGCAGCCTTCCGGCCGAGTAAGCGATGCCAACCCCAGGAGGAGGAGGAGGAGGAGGACGAGGAGGAGGAGGAGGAGGGGGAGGAGAAGGAGGAGGAGGAGGAGGAGGAGAAGGAGGAGGACGAGGAGGAGCAGAGTTGGAGGAGGAGGAGGAGGAGGAAGGCAAGAGGTCCCTCTGTTGGGAGCGCGCCGCACGGCCAGATCCACATGCGGGGTGCCCAGAGGCCGCGCGCTGTGGATGCACGCGTGCGGCAACCCGGCGTGCCTGGCCGCGGGGGGCCAAGCGTTAGGCCGGGCATGTCTTCCGGCAGGCGGATTTTGGAGGGAAAAACAGACAGGGTCGAAACTTAATGCGGGATGGCGATTAATAAGAACAATGGGAGAGACCGATCGAAACAATAGTTTTCTGCTATTTCTGCATACTTTTCTGACTGGAGGAGGACGACAAAAAAATAGTTTTCCAGCCCGCGGCCGGTTTTTTCTAATCGTCATCCCGGGCGCCGCCGCGTGAACACGACCCAGTCATTTACTAATCGTCATCCTCCATTATTCAAAACAATCACGCATAGCCAGGCCATCCCCTCCCTGCTTTTGAAGGTTCCCCCTGTGGAGAGAGACACGCCCGACGAAAGCCGAGCGGCGGAGAGCAGCAGCTCTGGGCGCACGCGTGCCGAAGCTCTCGCCCCTGACTGGGCCGGGGCCGGCTCGCCCCGGAGCCGCTCTGGGCTCGGCGGCGCGGCCGCCGCGCTGTTTTTGGCCCCCTCGCCACCGCCCTCGCGGTCGTCGTCGGTCGATTCCTCGCCTTGCCGCCGGGCTCCTCTGGCCATCGCTCGGACGTCCATTCCCTGTGTTTTTGTTGGGTTTCGTGCGTGGTTTTTCTCGCCAAATGATCAAGAGTGCTCCTCGATGGCCCTCGCCGAGAGAAAAATGCACACGTCCGAGCGATGCCAGGCTGTTGTCCCCCTCTCCACCGCCCTCGCTGCCGTCGTCGGTCGGTTCCTCGCCTGGCCGCCGGGCTCCTCCGCGACGGCGAGGGAGCGGGCAGCTGGACTCCCGAAGTGGGGGTACGGAAAGAATGGGTACAATTGAAGGGGCCCTGGGACACGCAAATACATGCACACAAATAGAAGAATTCCCCATAGTTTCCCATATGTTCTGGGTTTCTGTCTCCCCCCCACTTCCCATATTTTCCAATCTTCTCCGGGGAGTGGACGATTAATTGTGTCTGTGTTTCTTTCCCTCCTGAACAATGCCCAACAGCAGTTCCTACTCCTTTTGAACAGGGCTCGCTGTCCGGGCCCGCCGCGGCCTGTTGCCATGCGAGACAGAAGGCCGCCTGCCCAACAGCGGCCGCTGCTGGCTCGGGGCAGCAGTTGCTGTTGGGCAGTGTGCCCAGTGTCTCCGTGCCCCTTTCGGGCGCCCGAGGGGCACGGGAGGCCAGTCCACAGGAAAACCCTCCTCTTACCCATCCTCCTGCCCCTCCTCCTCCTCCTCCTCCTCCTCCTCCTCCTCCTCCTCCTCCTCCTCCTCCTCCTCCTCCTCCTCCTCCTCCTCCTCCCTCCTCCTCCTCCTCCTCCTCCTCCTGATCCTCCTGATCCTCCTGCTCCTCCAGCTCCTCCTGTCCTCCTCCTGCTCCTCCTCCTCCTCCTCCTCCTCCTCCTCCTCCTCCTCCTCCTCCTCCGCAAGACACCCGGCCCCGAGCCCCCAGGGCGTCCCCTGTTTTTGCTTGGTGCGGGAGCGTCACGCTCTTTCCGTGGCGGAGCCGCGGAGGCCCGAGAAGTAGCCCAGGGCATGCCCCGGGAGGCATCCAGGGTGTCTCTTGGCAGGGGCCCCCCGCTGTCTCGCCTCCCAGACCCCCTCGAGTAATGACAAAAATCACGACGGGAGGTTTTTCGCCATTTTCGGCCTCCGGGGGCCCTCACCGGGCCTCGGGCGCGTCAAAAAACGACTCAGGACGAAAAATCGGTCATAGGGAAAGGGTCTGGACCTCTGGGGGGCGCGTCATGAAAAAATCATGACGTCGGGGGTCTGGGGAGGGGGGACAGACGGGCCCCTCCCCCCCGTTTGAGCAGGGGCCGGCCGTCCCGGCATTCCTGGAGTCCTGCCACGACATGTTCTCCGAGCCCCCAGAATGTGCCAAGAACGACAACAAGGTTCTCAGAACACAGGCCCGATGTGGGAACACAAGACAGGCTCTGCCAGGCATGTGCGAAGAACACTTCGTGGAAACCACAAAAGAGGCTCTTAGAACATTGCTTGGTAGGACTATAGGCGAGCAGGGACCTTTGTGGTCCCCGGAAACGGCAGGGCCGTCTTTTTTATCGTTTCCCCAAAAATGTCAATTGACTATGGAAGCGGCAAAAAAAGGCGACCGGAAACGGCAACAAAAACGGCTCCAGGATCGGAACTGGAGCCGGAACCGGCCAAAAAACGGCGACGGAACCGGTAAACCAACGGAGTCGGGACCGGCAGAAAAAACGGCAGAACGGAACCGGGAAAAAAAACGGCCCTGTCCCCAGACCCCCGACGTCATGATTTTTTCATGACGCGCCCCCCAGAGGTCCAGACCCTTTCCCTATGACCGGTTTTTCGTCCTGAGTCGTTTTTTGACGCGCCCGAGGCCCGGTGAGGGCCCCCGGAGGCCGAAAATGGCGAAAAACCTCCCGTCGTGATTTTTTCATTGCTCGAGGGGGTCTGGGACTAAGGCCGGGACGCGTCGCCGCTGCTTGAGGCCCGCCCCCGCCTCGGGGTTGAGCCTGCTCTGCGCCGCGGCCTGCAGGGGTGCCGCCGCCGGGTCCGCCGGCGCGCGGGCGTCCGGCGCGGGCGCCCGGCTGGCGACGAGCTTCAGCGGGCCGCGGCCGCTGGCGCCCTGGGGGCTGTGGCGTCCAGCCCCTCTCTGGCCATTGCTCGGACGTCCATTCCCTGTGTGTTCTTTGGTTTCGCGCGTGGATTTTTGTTCGCCAGAGGATCAAGGATGCTCCTCGAGGGTCCCCGCCGAAGGAAAAATGCACACATCCGAGCGATGCCAAGCTCTTCCCTCCTGCTCGCGCCGCGAGCAGATCGGCGGTGGACAGACCTCCCTTTAGTATACACCTCTCCGCAGTGAAAAAGACGGCCTGGGACCGAAGCCGACGGACCTGGACCCGCAAGAAGTGACGGCCGCGACGCCCTCTCGCGAACCGAGAACGGCCAATTCCTGAATCGGCGTGTCAGGGTAGGAGGTCGATCCATCTCCGAGCAGAAACAAAAAACGGCATGCGTTTATCCGTTTGTTCGGCCTCCTAGGGCGCGGCCCTGAGCACCGGGACCGCCAAAAAAGCTCGACTCGGGCTGCACCACCGGCCCTGACCTCCAGGGACCCCGTGTTGAAACGCTCGAAACATCAGAGGTCACTCCCTTCTCCTCCTCCTGCTCCTCCTGCTCCTCCTGCTCCTCCTGCTCCTCCTCCTCCTCCTCGTCCTCCTCCTCCTCTTTTTTTCCACCCCTCCTTCTCCTCCTCCTCCTCCTCCTCCTCCTCCTCCCCCTCCTCCTTCCTGCTTGGCAACCGCTCCTTTTTCCCCTCCGCCTTCCTCCTCCCTCCACCTCATTCCACCTCCTACTCCTCGGCAGCGGCGGCGGCAGCGGCGGTGGCGGCGAGTCTTTGGGGCCTCCTGTGAGCGATCGATGTTGTACCCGTGCCACGTGCATTACTTGCGGACTAGACCCAAAGAGGGGCTGGCATGGACAGAGCCCGAGACAAGATTTTCTTCTATTCCCGAATTGCCCTCTCACCTTTCCTGGTTTGGGGTAGCCGTAATGAGGGGTATGGTGAAGCACCGATCGGCACCTGGAGGGGGGACAACGAGGGGAAGAGGATCGAAGTTCCAAGCACGACGTCGTCATTCCGAAGTTGTTTGGGGGATCTTGATGCTCTCGTCGCCACCGTTGGACGAATTTCGGAGAACTGCTGTCCTGGAGGAGGAGCCGAGGAGGGGATTGCCAAAGAGGGCGGGTTGGATGCTCGTCCTGAGGACCCTGATGAAGCCACTCTCTCTCTCCACTCATGCGTCGAACGCCCGTCGAAGTGAGCCGAACTTGCATCGAGCTGGAGCCGAGCCATCGTGAGCCAAAATGGAGCCGACTTGGATTCGCACTGGGAGTCGCACAGACCCGCCAGGTGGGCCAAGGGAGGAGGAGGGAGGAGGAGGGAGGGAGGAGGGAGGGAGGAGGGAGGGAGGAGGGAGGGAGGAGGGAGGGAGGAGGGAGGGAGGAGGGAGGGAGGGAGGAGGGAGGGAGGGAGGAGGGAGGAGGGAGGGAGGGAGGGAGGGAGGGAGCAGACGATCCAGCTGGCAGGGAGGGCCGAGGAGGGAGAGGAGGACTGCGGCGCCGGACGTGCTCCTCGGAGTGCGGCGTCCAGGGGCCCCACCTCGGGGGCAGGCCCCCTCGGGGCCATCAGGAAGTGTATACGTCCCTCCGTCGCTCCTGAAGAAAGGCTCGGGGATCTTCTGACCCGGGTCAATCCAGACCCAGGTCAGCAGGAACCAAACAACTGCAATGCAGTAAAACAAAAAAAAAAAAACTGCAACGCAGGTCTCCGCAAACCCGGGTCAGCCAATATGCGCGGCTGCCTCGCGGCCACGAGCGGCTCGCTAACCCAGGTCAGCCAGAGGGGGTCTTCGCAGGATCCTGCAGGACCTGGTGCCCTGGCTGACCCCCGTCTGCATTGACCCCCGTCTCAAGGCTCCCGAAAGGCGGCCCGACACGAACCGCCGGTCGACGTGGACCCCTTGAGGCGGGGAGGCCCATGGGCCGATGCCGACCGCACTTCGGGGTCGAAGGGCCGAGGCTCGACGAGGGGCTCGAGGATTCGGGGCTCGCGGATCGTCTCGCTCGTGCTTCGGGGCAGGGCTCGAGGTAAACAGCATTCGTCGTGTGCGTTGATTCTTCGTTCTCCTTCGCTCTGTCTTCGTGTTGCCTTTGCTGCGAAACGGGGTCAAAACGGAAACGGCCCACGGAATCGCCAAACCACCGGTTGCTCGTGCCCTGGGGGCCCCCTGGGGCCAGCCGCGGCTTCTGGGGGTCCGTGGACCTCTCCCGCTGCCTCCTGACCAGACTTGCGAGGCGCCTCCGCCAGGGGTGGCGGCATCGGTATCGCCTCCTCCTCGGAGGGAGGGGTGGGGTGGCGAAGGGGAGGGGCAGGGATCGGACGAGGACGCCGAGGCGGGCGGAGGGCCTGCAGGAAGTCCGCGAGGGTCGCCTCCACGAGCGTGCACAGGTCCTCCTCCTGGCCCCGAGGACAGCAAGAGACACCGATCCTTACCAGCCTGGAACATATCCCTATCCTCATGCTGGGCATCTCCGCATCACGATGCCAATCTCAGGGGCTCCCTTCTTTTTTGAGGGCGCATCCCTGAGATTGTCATCGCCTTTTGGTGGCGTGTCAATCTTAGAGATGGGGATCAGTTCGAGGCTGGTAATCGATCCCGCGCGCCAGCGCCCATGGCCGGGGGTCCCGGGGCGCAGCCCGCGCCGAGCGAGAGAGCCCAGGGGCACGTGCCGCCACGGCGGCGAGTAGGCCCAGGGCAAGCCCCCCTCCAGGGCGAGCGGCGAGGGGCTCGCCGTCGCTCGGACGTCCATTTCCCGTGCATTTGTCGATTTCGTGTCTGTTTTTTTGTTGCTCGATGGTCCAGGGTGGTCCTCGATGGTTCTCGCCGAGGAAAAAATGCACACGTCCGAGCGATGCCAAGGAGGAGGCGCTGAGCCATCTTCGACCCCACGGGGGCCCTTGCCCAGCTCGCGGGGCCGCCTGGGAAGCGACCAGGGCGAGGCACAGCCGGTCCCGGGGGAAGGGTCGAGGCTTCCGGGGGTCCGAGGATGGAGGGCAGTTGTAGGGGAACGAACAACGAATTAAACACAAGAGCTCGGAGGTCCGCGCGGATTTCTCGGATCAGCGCTGGACCCCTCCTCCCTGGCGCGCGGAGCGCGCCAGGGGCGGCGCCGGAGGCGGACCGCCGAGTTCTTGTGTTATTGCCATTGTTCGTTCTCCTAGAAGTCAGGGGAAGCAAGTGAAGCCGGAGGAAAAGGAATCTGATGGGCCTATTTTCCACCACCACCACCATAAGTTGGAGGGGGAGGGGGTCCACATCCTCCTCCTCCTCCTCCTCCTCCTCCTCCTCCTCCCCCCTCCTCCTCCTCCTCCTCCTCCTCCTCCTCCTCCTCCTCCTCCTCCTCCTCCTCCTCCTCCGACTTATGGTGGTGGTGGTGGAAGCGGGCCCACCAGAATCACGAGGGGGAGCGGAAACACGAGGTGTGCGCACCAGACCTGGGCACGCGCTGGGCCTCGCCGCGGGGCCCGGCGCGCGGCCAGCGTTCCCCCGGTCCTCGTCCCTGTACTTGAGGACCAGGTGCGGCGAGCCCTCTGAGAGGTACAGCGGAGGCCAGTCCACGAGAAATCGGCGGCGGGCGCGGGGGGGAAATGAGAAGGGGCGGGACTTCCGAGGCTTCTGAGAAGTTTCCGGACTTCTGAGAGGGCTTCTGAGAAGTTCAGTCTGTATTCGAAATAGGCTAAGGAGACCTCTCAGAAGTCCCCCGGACTTCTAAGAAGTCCCGCGGCCTTCTGAGAAGGCCTGCTCCTTCTCATTTCCCCCCTGGGCCCGCCGCCGAAGAAAGCTTCCACGAGAAACCCAGCCAGGAGACCCCAGGACGTCCATTGATTTCTGGTGTGGGAGCGTCACGCCTTCCACGGCAAGACTATCGATACCCAAGAAACCCAGGGCACCCTGGAGACAAGCAGGGTGTTTCTTGGCATGGGCCTCCACTGTAGAGGAAAGCATTGGAGGCTTCGCGCGGTAACTTGAGAACGTCGGATGCACGTCTGATAGACGTCGGATCCACGCCTGATAAACGCCTGAATTACGTCGGCCATCGCCGCGCGAATTCGTCACATATCTTTCGCGGCTGACATGTGGACGAAACGACACAACTCTTGCGCGCCGCGCGAGGCCTCCAGACAGATGCTTCCGGAGGTCCGTACAGATTTCCTGGATAAGCGCTTCAACCTCCTGGCGGCGCCTCTGGCGCCGCCTTTGGCGCGCTCCGCGCGCTAAATATGGGGGCCCGAGCGCAGATGCAAGAGATCCACGCAGATCTCCGAAAATTGAGTGCTATACTCACCAACCACCCCAACCCATCCCAAAGTCGCCATTGGGTCTGCCAGTTCCCAGTGGGTACGCGTTCCAGAACACGGCGAACGCACGGTGGAGCCGGGGTTCTGGGACCTTCGGGTTGGGTTGGGGAAGGCTCGGGAGCGGCCAAGAGGGGGGTTTCCAAGAGGGGGGGGTGCAAATCATGACCGGCGGCATGTGCGCGGCCCAGCGGGGGGGCCAGGGACGCAATGAAATAAGAAGAGGCGCCATGAAATCTAGGGAGATATCATGGCCCCCGCCATGATATCCACCCCCCCTAGTCATCCCCCCCTCTTTCCGCCCCCGAGTTGGGGAAGGCTTGGGAAGTGAAGCTTCTCTCCGTCCACCTCTGGGAGCTTGAAGCCCTCCACGATCGTCGCCTGCAGCGCCGCGTAGCGCGCCTCCTCCCCGGCACCCTGCCTCGGGGGCAGCCGGGCGCGCAGCCTCCGCACATCGCCCTCGAGGTCCACCTTCACGACCAGCTCGTCCTCGGACATCGGGCCGGCGCGGCTGGCAGGTGCGCCCCTCGAGCGCCTCGAGGTCCCGAGACCAAAAACCGAGCATCGACAGTAGAGGTGGGGTTCCGAGTTGTTATCCAACGAACTGGGCTGGTGTGCCGCTCTGGCGGTTCTGTAGCCGCCGCCGCCGCCCCGTCGCCGCCCGTCGCCGCCCGTCGCCTGGGCCGGAAAGTCACTCTGGCGGCTATGTGGCCGCGGTCGCCGCCCCGTCGCCGCCTCGTCGCCGCCCGTCGCCTGGGCCGGTGAGCCACTCTGGCGGCTATGTGGCCGCCGTCGCCGCCCCGTCGCTGCCTCGCCGCCGCCACATATATTCTCCTTTGTTTACAAGAATAACTTCGACCACCCTCCCCGGATGTCTCGATACCCCGGGAACATATGCAAAGCATATGATTTTGATCCAATGTCCATCCGACCTGTGAATTCATACTATCCCAGCCAGGCCGGTATCGGTTCCCCCCGCCATCCTATGCAACAAATACTATGCGCGCGCACTTGTTTATCAACGATCATGAGCTTTCAAGAATCCCTTGCAAACGAATAAACCAGACGAGGTGCGCACGCGCGCGTCGTCGCGTGCGCATGCCGAACTCCTTAAAAAACCTTCGGTGTCGGAGAGATTCCGAAATCGAATGTAAAACAAAACAGTATAAAAAAAACACAGCGGCTCGCAACACGGATGTTCAACAAAATCGTGCGCGCGCTCTCTTGCGAATCCGTAAGAAACCCATACGTTTTTTTTTCTGTTGTTTGTTGAATTTTTCTCAACACGTCCAGAACATGCTATCAAACGGGTTTCGCTCGCGCATGTCGAAATTGTTCGAACGCCCTTGCGGGCGTGCTGGGGTGGCACGATCCGTGTCAAATAATACCATGCGAACCACTCTGGCGCGTGTGCCGCGCGCGCATTTCGAATTCCTTCCAAAACCTGCATCACCGACGCGAAGACGCCGTCATTGCCGTCGGCGTGATCAGCATCGGCGCCGTCACTGGCTGCCCCGTCGTCGCTGTCAGCACCGCCACCAGCATCGCTACTACCATCATCGTGTCTAGCGTTGTCAACGTGGCCATGATACCGCGCCCGCCCAAGTCGCCGATGCGGGCGGTCCGCGCCAGCGGGATGTGCCGAGCGGTCACCGCCACCGCTTTTCGCGTCGGTCGTGCCAAACTAGCTGGCCGCTGCGCGCGCGAACATGCGCGGGCTAGCGCGGCCGCACCAGCCAACACCAAACACTCATCGCAATCGCTCCCGCATGGGTTTTGCAAACCAAGTTGCGGGCGGGTGGGTGGGATGATTGCGCGAGCAGTGGCGTTGACAACTTCAAGTTCGGCAAACGAGGTGCTTGACGTAGACTGCACAACAGAGGTTGCGCCACATCGGCTGCACCACACGTACGGCGACACATAGATGGCACCACCGAGATTGCACCACATGGATTGCTCATCGTAGATTGCAACAACAGCCTTGCACAGCATAGAGTGTACAACATTGACTGCACGACGTAGATTGAACCACATAGTTTGCACCATATAGATTGCTCCACCTGGGTTGCACCACGTAGATTGTACCACATCCATGACAACATATATATTACATCACGTAGATAACACCACATAGACTGCACATCGTATGTGGACTCCCGGAGACTGCACCACATGGATTGCGCAACACCGGCGACCCCACATCTATTGCACACGTTGGGCTGCACCGCGTAGCTTTGCCCACACAGATTGCACAATATGCTTTGCACCAATCGAATTGCACAACATACGTTGCCCGACGTGAAGTTACACAACATAATGTGCGCATCATACATTGGACAGCATGTGCCGGACAATATGGATTGCACCACGCAAACTGTTCCACAAGAGAGGAACCACGTAAACTACACAACACAGATTGTCCCACATGAGTTGCGCAACGTAGACAACGCAACAAATGTTGCACTGCGTACGCTGTGCCAAACATATTCTCCTTTCTAATAAAGAATTAGGATCGAGCAGCTCCAGGAATTAACGGCCGCTTTCTCGTATAGCAAATTACATACGATTCTGCCCCATCGCCAATCCGAAACATTGTACATACCATCTCAGGCGCGCAGGTACCGGTTCCCTCCCTCATCCTCTTCCAAAAAACTATGTGCGCACACTCGTTTATCACGAATCATCTGCTTTCGAACAAAGGAACTTGCAAACAATGACAAAGCACACGCACGAGCGCGTCGTCGCGCGCGCATGCCGAAATGCGGCAAACAACCTCAGGTGTCGTAAGAATTTCAAAATCGAGTGTTCCGAAGACAAATCAAACACATGATTTCGCAACGCGAATGATCAAAAGCAATTTGCGTTCGGGTTCATGCGGCTTCTTCAGGGAACATTTTGTTGTTAAGGCAACTTCGTCATTTGGTACCCAAAAAAGCCCCTCGCGTGCGCATGTCGGAATCGATCGGACACCCTTCGCGCGCGTGCTGTCGCAAGCGCCCATCAAAACAAAAACGGGACGAAATGCACTCGCGCGCGTCGTCCTGCGCGCATGCCGGAATCTTCCGAAAACGCTACGTGCCGTACGGATTTCAAAATCGACTGCCCCGAAAACATAGGCACAGCTACGGTTTCGCAGCATTTGTTTTCAAAAAAATGTCTGCGCCCGCGCTCCTGTAAAATCCTGGGGCAACCACCTGTTCTTCAACACATTACTTAAATTCGGCCACGCGGGCCCTCCGCGCCCCACGCCGAAATCAGTCGAACGCCCTTGCGCGCGTGCTGCGGGGGGGGGGATGCGGTCCTCGTCAAATGATCGAATAATGCGAGCCGCTTTCGCGCGTCGGCCGCGGGCGCATGTCGAACTCCTTCCAAAATCTTCAATGCCGGCGCGGTGGCGCCGTCATCGTCGTCGGCGTGATCAGCATCGGCGCCGTCAGTGGCCTTGGCGTCGTCGTTGTCATCATCGTCACCAGCACCGATACCATCATCATCGCGTCTGCTTCTGTTGGCGTTGCCATGATCCCGCGCCCGCCCAAATCGCCGACTCGCACTGCATTTCCCTTGGGAATTGCCCAGCGATCAGCGCCACCGCAACCGCGCTGGTCGCGCAAAACCATCTGGCCGCTGCGTGCGCGAGCATGCGCGGGCCAGCGCGGCCGCAGACATGCAACAGCCAACGCCGAGCACTCATCGCAATCGAAGCCGCATGGGCTTTGCTAAACAAGTTGCGGGTGGGTGGGTGTGGTAATTGCGCGAGCAGTGGAGTGCACAACCCACTGCGACCAGACATGGCATTGCATACCATTAAGTGTACACGTAAGAGTGCACAACACAGATTGCGCACAGGATGATACAGACCACGCATACCACAACACGATTTGAAACACATGGATAGCACAACGCTGCACAATTGGTCCCGCATAGCATTGCACAACACGTTTTGCATCACTTCGGGTGTACCGCATACATATGTGTAATTATACACATACTGACTAGGGATCGACCACCCTCCCCTATAATTTTGCCCTGGGGGTGTGCAACTTGCGTATAGATTTGCCCCTGCGCTCATGTAAAACATGCGTCCGTACCGCCCCACCCATACCAGGTTCGACATGCCCTTTTCACCTGATCCATCCGACTGTGCGCGCACGCGTTGATTCAAACATCACGTATGTACGGAACAAATGAAGGCAAACGGTTTGGCAAAGTCTACACGCGCGCGTCGTCGCACGCGCATGCTGGTTCCGCAGGGGTTCCATCACCGAGGGCCCCGAACACATGCAACTCACACGTCGGTTGGCGAACAGCTGTTTCAAAAAAGGTCTGTGCGCGGATTTGCGAATCCCCGGAGCAAACGTAAGCTTTCAACACGACCATCAGATGCGACCGAACGGGTCTCCCGCGCACGCGACGAAATCGTCCGAACGCCTTGTATCCACGCGTGCTTGCGGGGGGGAAGGATCCGTATCAAATCGTATCAAGCGGGCCACTCGCGCGGGTCGGACGCGCGCGCATGTCGAAATCGTTCAACAACCTTCATCACCGACAAATGGACACCATCATCATCGGCGTGATCCGCATCGGCGCCGTCATTGGCGTTGCCGCCGTAACCGTCACCGTCGCCACCAACATCGGTACTACCATCGTCGCGGCTGCCGTAATCGACGTCGCCATGATACCGTGCCCGCCCGATCCACCGACTCGCACTGAAGTGCCCGCGCGTCAGCGCGGCCTGCGAGACGCGCTGGGAAGTCCCCAGCCGTCAGCGCCACCGCGGCCGCGTCGGTCGCGCCAGACTAGCTGGCCGCTGCGCGCGCGAGCATGCGCGGGCGCGCGCGGCCGTAGACATGCACCAGCCAACTCCAAGCACTCATCGCAATCGTCGCCGCAAGGGTTTTGCAAGCAAGGTTGCGGGTTGGTTGGTGGGATGGTTGCGCGACCAGTGGAGTTGTCAATTTTCAGTTCGGCGGAGTAAAATTTCCATCGTTAATAAAAACAACATTCTACCCCTACCACCACCACCCCGGACTTACAGGGCCAGCCTCGCCATTGCCATTTACATATGCGTTCGCCTCCTCTCTTATGTTCCGTACGAATGATACCATCCCGGCCAGGCCGGAGATCGCCCCCCGCCACACCCACTGGAAAAAAAACGAAGCGCACGCACTCGGCGATCAAAAAGTATCAGTTTTCAGAACACCCTGCATCAATGGGACGAAGTGCGCGTCGTCGCACGCGCGTGCCGAAATCTTTCAAACACCTCAGGTTTCGTGAGGATTGCGAAATCAAGAATCACGAACACGTATGACGAACACCTGGTCTCGCCATCAGAGTTTTCAAAACAAAAATCAATCGCAAAGCGAAAGGCTGTGCCCGCGCTCTTGCGAATTCGTCACAACGCCACATGTTTTGCAACATGGTCATAAAATGCTACCACACGGGCTTCTCGCGCGCGCATGTCGGAATCGCTCGGACTCCCTTGCGCGCGTGCTATCGCA